CCCCCCCCCCCCCCCACATTTTGTATGTTATTTTTCCTCCAACTTTTTCTTCATTTTTCTTTCATTTTCTTCATTTTTAATCTTTTGTGCTGTTTTAACGGTGAAATATTTACTTACAGGCTGGAGGATTACTCGGATTCCGAGCTGGAGCAACAACTCACAGAGTCGGAGGCCATCTGCCTCAACCTTGTCCTCGAGTGTTTAGAAAAAGCCACCAATTCTCAGATGGAGACGAGCCTTGATGAATCCTCCAAATATTCGAAGACGGATCTCGACAATTCTTCTCCAGCAAACCTTGACAATTCCATTCATCATGCTGAATCCCCGAAAAGTATTGGCAAATTAAAAATACGTGTTGGGGAACCTATTCAGAAGCTGAAAATTACCCCAGAAAAACTAGGACTAAAATCAGGAAAATCCAAGAGTCCTGGAGAACCTCTCACGATGCGAATTGTAACGCCCAAATCTAAGAAACGATTATTGCGAAACAAAAGCTCTCCAAGACTAGCAGCCGCCTCGGATCAAACAAACTGTATTTCTGCTTCACCTATCACTAAAAAACAATCACCCAAACGCTCAAAAATTGTGAAGAAATCCGCGGAATTGAATTCTGGCTTCTTAGGTCCAGAAAGTATAGATAAATCCGGGAAATTTGACTCAGACTCTCGTCGTAAATACAGTATTTTCAAATCTCGCAACTCAGCGGCTAGTGCCAAGGTTTCTGTTCAATTCACCGACAGTAACGTCGGGAAGAACCTGTGTATTCGAGCCAAGAGTGAGACTGAATCTTGTAACCCCCTGGAATCCGGTCACTCGAGTGAGATCGACCTGGTGGAGGACGAGTTCAGTGCTGAGCAGGGTACATTGGTCAGTCCAAGCAAGGTCCATGTTCTGACCAGCCCTAACAATAAGCTCAGGGTTTTGGAGCAATATTCTCCGGAAAAAAATATCTCTCCGTCTGCAAGCAAAAAGCTTACCTTCGGCCTCCATAGTCCAGTGTGCAAGGACGAAATTAGACAGGACAGAATATGTTTGGATGCCTATGTGCTTGATTTTAACCCGGAGAAGGTTAAAGTTGAACCTGAACCTGTACCTGCAGCTCCTAGACCTTGTCTCCGAACTCATGGCAGAGTAATATCTTGTGAAGATGCAATCAAAGCAATCGATGCAGTTGTCGATCTCAAGGTAAAGATATAATTTTCAATTTCTTGTTTCCTTAGATGCGAAGACTACAGATGTCAGGATATTTTTTTCATTCATGAATAGAAATAATTTCTAATTAATATTAATCGAATTAATTAAATCAAATTAAATGTTTTGTTCCAGTAATCACTTCAAAATATATTAAAAATTACTGTAGTTTCTCAGTTCAAGTTGGTTGGAAAATTTATAGAAATTGATTGAAATTTGGATTTTAAGGATATTGTGTCTGAGGATACAGAACAAATAAGTTGTACAGTAGAGGTGCCTACTAAAACTCCAGTTCAGGAATCTACCTCATCTGAGCCAAGTATTCCTCATGAGGAATCTACGTCAAATCTACCATCACCAAATCCTCCCTCCCTACATACTCCTTCCATTCCCATTTTATCCCCGCAAACAAACCTTTCCCACCCCACTAAGGAAACTAGAAGAGAGAGCGGAGAAGGAAAGTTACTCCGACCTGATCCAATGATGTCCCAACCTCTCTCCGTCCTAATACCATCAGAGGGAAAGAGTCGGAAGCGCACCAGTCCACGGAGTAATAAAGGATTAAAGGAGGATTCAACCACTTCTCAAAGTCCTGTTGGCTCCGAATGTGCCCGGTAAGCTTTTTTTTTTCTTTGATATGCTGCTTTTTTTGTCATGGGCTTTCCAAAAATCCATAAATTTTCAAAATTTAATCCAGGAAGGGAATCTAAATAGAGTTTTGGTTTGACAAAGGTAAAATACGGGATCCTAGATAGCAGATAATGCAGAGTCTCAGTATAAAAGCCCAGTTTTGGCCTGAAGTAAGAAATGTTGGTTCATGGTTGGATAAGTTTAACATTCGAAAAGTCTCGGATCTAAACTTTTTAACAGAATTTAGGATCCGGATACGTTGGATCAGCAATATTTTGACTTCCTGCATCCTCATCCGGATTCGCAACCAAGGGAAAAAAATATCAACCTAATACTGCAAACAATATTTTCTTCTACAAAACCCAAAAAAGGATTAAGCTTTCAAAAATGTCCTTATTTCTGAATGATTCATCAAGTTTTTGCATAAAAAAATAAACTACAAAAAGAAGAAAAGTAATTTTGAAAATTCTTATAATTTTTTTTTTCAACAAATCAGTAAATCTTCACGAAAAGTTCATAACCTGGATCCTAATCCCTGTTTTTCCAGTGCGGATCCAGGATCCAGATCCTCATTAAAATGTAATGGATCATAAACACTTCTTTTTAAGCTATAAAAAACATTAGAATTAACTTTTGTTTATTTTATTTATGTACTATACATGACACTGTTAAACTTGCTCTAGCTGCTTAAAAGTCGGCCCGGTATTAGAAATGAACCACAGTTTACCCTTATTACAATCGGATCTGAAAAAGGAACAAGATAAGTGGATGTAGCTAAAGGGACCCTGAATTCATAAAAAATAATCTTGTTAGTTTTAAAGTGCCACTTTTCCTTTTCCTTTTTCCTTAAGAGAATAATTGTTTATTCACAGAACTGAAATCGTTTTATCTCATTCTCAATTTTCAGCGCCTTTCTCAAGTATCAACTAATTACATGTTCAATGTTCATTGATTCCATTTGAAAATATTCCCTCCTAGCTGAAATTAAAGAAAGAAAATATTTGGAAAATCATTAAATTTTTATTTCAGATCTGAAGTCCCTGTCCCTGCTCCAGTCCCAGTAACTCCAGAGACCGCGACTGGGCGAAAAATGCGCGATTGTCGTAAATTTATTCATTACGAGTTCTCCCCGCCATTCGTCTCAGATGAGAGTTCAACTGATCAGTTCTCCCCGGTGCTGAAGGCCAAGATACAGGAGAACACGGAGATAGGGAAGAAGAAAGGAAAGCAGGGAGGGAAGAAAAAGATGGAAACGGAGAAGAAGAAAGGGAAAACTGGAAAGGGGAAAAATTTGAATACTAATTTTTCAATCAGGTATTTTTAAATTATTTTTATTTTTAATACGTTGAAAATCTCTAAACCAGTGTTCTTAAAACCCGGATCCATTGCAGATCCTAAGCAGGATCTGAAACATTTTTTTCCCCTATGGCCGAATCTAAAGAATTTGAGCCGCGGTTTAAATTTAAGCTGTGGCTCAAATTTTGTTGTTTCCACTTAAATTCGTATTGACTATTTTCAAGATTTAATCCGGCGCTAAATTGAAACCGGGTTTTGGGGAATTTGAGACGCGGCTTAAATTCATTAAATTCGGACACTAGTAGATTATGGACCACAATAATCGGGCAGAAGAAACTTATTAAAACAAAACTTCATTAAATTATATTTCAAATACCTAAAATAATCACCCTGGATTTGAATTCGCAATTATGTATATGATTCAAAACCAAGTAGCAAAATGTCAACCAAAGCATCAAGCTTGTTCTTAAAAACACACGTTTCAAGTTTCAGAGAATTTGTTTTTTTTTAAGAAATTAGCAAAACTAAGTAATATTCATGAGCTGGATCCAGAATCATAATACATTTTCTCACAGAACGGATCCAGGATCCGGATACATTTTCTCACAGAACAGATCCAGGACCCGGATACATTTTCTCACAGAACGGATCCAGGATCCGGATCTGCATTAAAATGAAATCAATCTTCTGCTTTAAACAATTTGCTTCTTGTGTAACTTTCGTTTGCTTTTCAATAATAACCCTTAAGCAAATGATAATTATTAAACAAATTAAAACAAAAATATTTAATTTTTATATTCTATCATTTTGTTTTAGTGATCTAGCGCAGAAGTTATCGGAAGATCACATAAGTCCGATCACAAGAGAGAGAGTTAGCTTTGTAAATATGGAGAGACGAAGAGCCAGTGTAGATACCAATTCATCCAGGTATTCGTTTTAACTTTTTTTTCTGTTAGCCATTGTTCATTTCGTTTTTTACACTTGATTTGATTTGAATTGTTTATTGTTTTTTGTTCATTGTTTATTGTTATTCCAGAAGAAGTTATACGGCGATGCATTTTTTATGTAATTTTCTGTACCAATTAATAATTATTTATTCCTTATTTTTATTTGTTAACTGTTAATTTTTTTATTTTCATAGATTTGCGGTGTTTTTAAAATAAATTTGTCAAAACTTCGCGCCCATCTTCTAAATTAATTGTGAACATGTTCTCTTTGTCTACATCGTAAAACGAAACAAAAATAATTCGCGGATTTTCACAAAAAATTTCATGGATTTTAAAAAATTTAATGAAGATCGAATTTTGATGGAGACAAATATTTAAAATTTCAATCATTCATAAACCTTCCCTTGGGTCCCTAGATGTCCCATAAAAAATTTGGGCCCGATCGGTTCAGCCATTTTGACGTTTATTGGATACAAACAGACAGACAAACAAACAAACAAACAAACAAACAAACACCCAGACAAGCCAAATTTATATATAGATGTTTTTAATCAGTATTAGTAGTTTTCATTGTTCATGATTTTTCTCTGTACATCTTTCATTACAATTTCCAGAAGAAATTTTGCGGGGATACATTTTCAAAATGTATTTTCTATACCAATTAATAATTGGCTAAATAAATTCTTTTTATTTTAAACAATTAATATTTTATTTTCATCGGTTTTTTTGTAGTGTTTATTAATTGCCAATTTTTGATACTTTTGCTTTGGGTGGTTTTAAAAGCATTTTCAATAATATAAAAAACTCATTTTAATTTTGATAAAATGTCATATTTCCAGGAATCGTAAGATAGTAAATATTTTCTGGTTTCAATCACAATGATATTTGTAAAAAAAAATTGCCAAAAATATTTAATATTTAATCATCAATGGAATATAATGTTTTATTGTTAAAATAGCTTGCGAACTAAACACAACCCAGGTTACTAAAAGTTACTCTGCTGTCTACCCGCAATTGAACGATTTTACCGGGAAACTGAATTTTCGCTTTAAAGTTGACCCACTCAACTTGAATCTCAAAACAAAGCTAAGAACATTCCCATGGGTCTCCCGACTTCCCAATCAAAATTGAGGCCAGTCGGTCCAGGGGTTCCTGAGTTATGATCGGACAAACAAACAGACGAAGAGAGATTACAACTTATATATATAGATTGTTTTGCTCAATTTATACAAATGGCATTTTCGATTCACAACGGTTCATTTGAAAGCATTTCTGATTTAAAATGTTTATTTTCCACTATGGTTCAACTTTAAAAGTTAATTTTATCTGGTTTTCTTAAACAAAATACTTTTTAGGAAAGTTGAATCGAAAAGAAGACTGAGTAGAAGTAAGAGTACTGATGTATCCTCAGGAACAGATCAATTAGACCAGGTATTCATCGGGATTTATATATTTCATTTTTACGTCAAATTATCTGGGTTTCTGGTCCAGGTTGTTTTATGAATTTTCGACTAGATTGAAATTTAAATTTGAAAATTCAAAGTCAGTCATTTTTTTTTTTTTAAATCGTGACATGAAGTTGTTTCTGGACATCTCTATTATAAAAGTTGTATATATCCCTAATCAATCTCATATATCTTTGCAACCTGAGGTTGCAAACTTTTCAAATTTTAAACTTAGATTTTATGATCTAACGGAATTCATATTTTAAAATATCTATGGTTTACGAAATTTGGTTGCAAAGATATTGGTATTAGGAAATCAGTTTGTAGCAAAGACTTGATTCCTTTGTTAGATTTTTACTAAGAATTTTTAAATAATATAAAATTGCAGGGACTAGACCAGCTAAAGCAGAATCTTCGGGAGAGCCAGCTCCTGATGCAAACTATCCCGGAGAAACTCGCTAGTATAAAGGAGGACCCTGAGCCGAACCCCACCCCGCTGGAGGTGGATGAAGCTGGAACTTTGTGGGTTCGGAAGCGGGTAAAGGTTGTAATCCAATGTGATCCTCTGGCACGTATCAAGGATTATATTCATAAATCCAATAGTAAAGATGAGATAAACCCCAAGGAAGAGACGAAACCCAAAGATGAGATTAAGGTTGAGAATTGTGAACCCGTGAGTTGTATCCTGAACCCGGAGAATCTGAACCTGCTGGACGGGTTGAAGGTTCTCACCAGGATTGGTCGACATTTTTATCCGGGTAGAGCTAGAGCTGTGGAACCTCCGTTTATCTTTGCTGTTAGGTACAGTTCATTTTCATCCATGTGGCAAACAGTCATCTATAACATCAAACATATTAAATACAGTAATTATCTCATCTTTTAAAAAAGGAGTGGTACGTCCAATTAACAACGGTGACACTAAAAAGCTTTGCCTAATCAGTGAATGATTGATAAAACCATTAATTTTCTTTAAAAATTAATTTAAAGTGGAAATTTGTTATTTTCAGTTGTGGTTTTTCTAATTAGTAACTTGATGATTTCTTGCTTCAGAAACGATGGAGGAATTATGAGAATTTAACACTTTTCAAGCTAGAAAAACGACAATTTCATCCACATTACTGATCAGATAAAGGTTTAAAAGATACTGTCGTGAATGGGGCATGGCCCTCTTTTTAAGGAAGGTCGCTTGAAATCACCACTTTAACGCATTTCAATACGCAATTAATATCCGTAATGTGTTTAATTTGTTTATGTTTTTGTTTAGATAAATAATTGAATTGATATTTTGAAATAGTTTTGACGCTAGACTAAGCCAATTTATTCTATTGTTATCATTAGCATATTATATGAATTTGAATTTTATAAATTAGCTTGGAATAATATTTTCTAGTTTCTTGTCTGGATCCAAATCCGGATTCATAATTACCATAAAATTTAGCACTGCTTGAAAGGATAGATGAACAATTTTATCAAGAAGTTCAGCACTCGAACTTAACTTTGGGTGGAGATGTCCTATTGATGAGTGTGAGGGGGGTAGGGTCCCTGCCTTCATTTTTGGTTTAAATTTTTCCGTTTTTTGGCTGCACTCGTAATGTGTACTCTATTTCCTAAAATGAAATAACACTGGACCACTAAAAACCTCTAATGACCTTGATAAATGTAAAATATTTTAATTATGGCATGCATATTGCATATTAATGGTTAACTAGGAACCCAGGCAATACAGTAGCAGGGTCATTCCATGGAGAAGGAATACACCATTTGAAAAAAAATAGATTCTTCTCAAACTTAAAATTCTAATTATTTATGTCAGCAGCACTGATTCCAGTGTTTGACAATTTTTTGTTCAGTTTGGAGGGGGAGCGTGGAAATAAACCTCATATATACACGAGGGAGGAACTCTTGAACAAGGTTGTTATTGAGGTTAAACCTGGAGACTTTGTCTACACCCAGCCTGGTACACGGATCTGTACATACTGGAGCTCTCAGCTGCAGTACCTCTACCCGGGTACAGTAATCAGTATACAGGTCAGTACAGTACAATGGTACATGGTACAAATATGTGCATAACCCACATTATTTTCCTTCCCCATCATCCCGGCTCTAATATTGTTGTGAATTTAGTCTGCAGTCACTTAAAACACATCTCTCATTTTTTCTCAGAAGTTATTTATGCTTACACGCTGAACTGGGCAAAATAAGTTATATTTAGGGGGGGGGGTAAAAGTATCAATTATGAAGAAAAAAAGGCTTCCCTTTTGACGTCCAATTTTTCATTTTTTCCCTACTCATAAAATCATTTCCCCTGAGAAATGAAACATAACATTAATAAATCATTTTGTGAAAAGGATTGTAATCTGGGGGTTCACATTGGGGCCTCTTGCAGATTTCACTTCCTTATAAATCCTTATGTTAGTGCTTATGACGATTGTCCGGTATTCCATTGTGGGCGGGGAGGGGGGTCTTTCTCGAGCTTTAACTTATTATAATTAAAATTCGTTACTTACTCTGATGATATCAGGATTATTGATGGTTTTGCTCGTATTTTACTAAACTTATGTCTACAAATAATCTCTGAAGCTTTGCGGGAAAATAGTTCAACACTTTTTTTGCGCCTAAAAGTGTTAGTTTAGTCATTTTATTTTGAGTTCTTATAGATCGATAAGCTAATATTTAATTTTAATGTTCTAATTTTTCTGAAGAGAATTATTGAAAGAGTTAATCAAGCTTGAAAAATCTAATCTTAAACTGATAATTAATTGTAATAATATGGTAATTTTTTTCAAGACCGAAATTAATAATGAAATTAGGATCTAGTCCAAATCTCATTTTTGGTTTATTTTCTCTATTTTCTCTTTAAGTTTGAAAAATTGTTAAAGACAATCACTTTGCTTTTTGTACAAAGTTTGCAATCCCTGATAAAGATTTATTGTCAAATTTAATTTGTTTTTATATTTTACACTAGGGTGCAGCACATTCTAGAATCCATCTTTATATTTTACACTAGGGTGTAGCACATTATAGAATCCAACTTTAAATTTTACACTAGGATGCAGCACATTCTAGAATCCAACTTTAAATTTTACACTAGGGTGCAGCACATTCTAGAATCCATCTTTATATTTTACACTAGGGTGCAGCACATTCTAGAATCCATCTTTATATTTTACAATAGGGTGTAGCACATTCTAGAATCCAACTTTAATTTTACACTAGGATGCAGCACATTCTAGAATCCATCTTTATATTTTACAATAGGGTGCAGCACATTCTAGAATCCATCTTTATATTTTACAATAGGGTGTAGCACATTCTAGAATCCAACTTTAATTTTACACTAAGATGCAGAGCAATTTAGAATCCATTTGAAATTTTACAATAGGATGCAGCACATTCTAGAATCCATCTTTATATTTTACACTAGGGTGCAGCACATTCTAGAATCCAACTTTATATTTTACACTAGGGTGCAGCACATTCTAGAATCCAACTTTAATTTTACACTAGGATGCAGCACATTCTAGAATCCAACTTTAATTTTACACTAAGATGCAGAGCAATTTAGAATCCATTTGAAATTTTACACTAGGATGCAGCGCATTTTGGAATCATCATTTACATTTTACATTTTTGTATGAATCTTTTTGTCGGAAACAAATGTCAAGAACTGAAGAGAGTCAATCCAGACCGAAATTTTTTTTCAAAAAGTGTGGAGGTATGATGGAGCATCATTAAACCCGAATTTTTAATTTTTTTCCTTAGGGTGTAATCTGCAATGTTCAACTTATGTTCTTGTAAAGCTTTTATAAATGTTTTTTTAACACCTGGATAATTGGTAATGAAAGAAAAAAAGTTAAAACATTTAATAAAAGATAATTCCAAGCGAAAAAAAATAATATTAACAAAAATTAGTTAATAAAAGGTTTAGTCATTTTATAAATATGAAAAATTATATTTTGTCCCGCCATACTTCGCAATGCAGAAAAGTTCAGGATTTATTTGTTCTGCAACCAACTCCTATTGTTGGGTGATTTAGTTTATTCAATAAATCTAATTCTAGTGTTAATTTAGTAAAATTAAAAGTGACAGGAATGTTATTTTTTAGCTGAAAGGAACTGTTAGCGTTATTTAAAGTGACCCTCAACGTATATATTACAATGTCCGATTCACAACGGTACCTAAGCTTTGTCTGATTAAGTATAAATTAAATATCAATATTTGTTATTTTGAATACTGATGTCAATCTTTTTTTTCTCTACCAAAGTGACTTGCGCATTTCTGCTGCAGAAAAAAACTTATAGAAATTATTAGAGTTACGAAACCCTTTAGAAAAGGGACAATCTTCCATTGATCAGATAAAGGTCTCAAGGGTACTGTTGTGGATCAGATAAAGGTCTCAATGGTACTGTTGAGGAATCAGATAAAGGTCTCAAGGGTACTGTTGTGAATTAGACATTGTCATCTTTGCAACCTGATGGTGAAAATCATGATAATCTAGCAGAATTTATAATTGTAAATACCTACAGTCTTAAACATCAACCTGCTAAGATACAAGTTAAAGAAAATTAAAGTTAGAGGCGAATGTTCAGTTTGTTTATATTTTTACGATTTCTCAATTCGATATTTCATCTCAAAACTTTATGAATAATTCAATGTATTTTACAAATTCAAAGTTTAAAACCATTTCTCAGAGTAATATTTTTTCTTTTATATTGAATTTCTTCGTTACTGATTTCTTCCACGTTCTCAATTCATCAATTCGTTGCCATTTTCAATTCTTTCTTTACCTCAAAAGTTCACTCTACGGAACTATAATAATCCTCGTATTTTTAAAGTAAACACTTTATTTCCTACCTGACACAGCCCCCCCCGTCCCCCCCCCCGTCCTCCTGAAAAAAAGTTGGAATTGTTAATTTAAAAATAAATCTGATATATTTATGACAAGAAAATAGATGGTTGTTCAAATTTTCCATCTCCCCTGAACTGAGTTTGAATTGATTATCCAATCATTTGATTTCAAGCATAATATCTATAGGGCTGACAGGGGGATTTTAAGTTATTAATATCTCTTTTAAAATTCTTATTTTATGAAAAGGTTTGAGAAAACATTGTTCAGGGTTTCATTTTCTTTGTTTAGATTAGAAACTTCCCTTTTCATTATGTCTCTTTTAATTTTTAAAAAATTGAAAATTCATTTTGGTGATATAATGTATTTTCTAGAATGATCTTGTGCATGTTGAACTTGATGATGGCGATGAACGTGAGGTTCCCCTCGACAGTATTCGTCTGCTGCCCCCCTCCTACCCCCTGGTGCAGGGAGGGGGCGGGGAGGACCTCCTCTCACCCCTGGGGGAAGTTGAAGGCAGTACTCTCACAAAACTAACTGTACAGGTAAAGATTTTTAAAAAAATTATTTAAATAAATGACAAATCGTGATTAAAGTCTGATCCTGTGAGTCGATTTAGGGTTATCAGAATCTAAAAAATAGTTTCGCAAAATATTGGCATATATCGAATGAAATTACGTATAACATTTACTTTATTTATAATTATTTTTAAACATACACTTTTTTATTAATGAACATTCAGAATTTAGATTTGTGTTTTTTTTACAACTTGAATGGTTTAAATTTTAAAAATGATTTATGAGGTTTTGTTTAAAATGAAGTGCTTCTTTGTATTAAAAAATTTTTTTCGTCTTTTTTATCTTTCCAAGGAAGTATGTTGTTTAGGAATTGACGAGCCCTAAAGCTAAACCCATTTCTTCCCTGTCTGAAGCCAGCCCTGTACCCAAGCAGATCTTGAACAAGGAGAAAGGAAAGAAGAAGGTGAAGGAGAAAAAAGTGAAGACGGAAAAGGCCAAGGGAAAGGTTGGAAAATCAAAACCGGCCCTAGTTCCCTTAGAAGATGCTACATTAGACGAGAATTCTCTCAAGGATGGATTACGAGTCTTGTCCCGTATTAACGGACACTTTTATCCGGGTCGCCTTAACTGTATTAAACCCCCGGATATATATGGAATTTTACTGGATAATGAGCGTGGTTTTCGACCTCATATCTATGCACGGGAGGAACTATTAAAATCGACTATAAAAGATATCCGGATCCGTGCTGAGAAACTCCCAGTTGGCACCAGGGTGTGTGCATACTGGAGCTCAAAATATCAGTTCATGCATCCGGGAACTGTGGTTCCCCATGAGCCTGGATCTACTAAACACCATGCTAAGTTTGTTAATATAGAACTAGATGACGGGGACTCCAGGGAGCTAAACCTTGAATATGTTCGACTCCTGCCCCACAATTACCCCCAGGTTGTATATCAGGAGGATACAGTTCAACACTCCCCTGGGAAACGCAAGTCAAAACCAGTTTCTCCGTCACTGTCAGAAACTGTACCCAAGCCCGTAAAGAAAGATGATCCCAGGGTGGAATCACCCAACCCTGTAAGTAAAAATGAAGTTGATCCTGACTCCACAAAGATGAGTTCAACTCAAGAGAAGAAATTGCTGGAACAAGAGAAGGCAGAGAGTCGAGTCAAAAATATCAAACCCTTGATAGGAAAGAAAATTGAAGTACCATCTTCAGGTAACCTTTTATATTTTATCTTTCTGCTCTACTCCTCTTTCAAATTACAAGCAGGGACTGTGGTTTAGGCGGTGTGCCTCTTATTATTTTTTTAGTTACACATGATATGGATGAAAAGACATAAAAGACAATTTATGAGAAAGCAAACGATGAAACTTATTAAATCTTACATTAAGTTAAAATGTTAGGTCATATCATTAATAAGTTATTCATTGAAATGAAACTGAGCTTATTTTATACTTCAGGTCCTGTAGATCTGGTTGGACTAATATCTCAAGGGATAGATCGTTTGGTGGACAAGAAGGTTGGGGCAGTCAGACCAGAAAGAAGTCAGGGTGCCACGCAGCAACTTTCTCCAGGGTTCCCATCCTTCCCTCTTCAATCTAATCCTGTGTTCCCTCCTCCGTCACCTCATCCGTATTCTTCTCAAAATCAGCCTGGTTCAGTATTTTATCCAGGGACACCCTTTCATCCATCCCAATCCCCCCATCCATCCCAGTCCCATCATCCATCACAATATCCTCATCCTTCCCAATCCCCTCACCCATCACAGTCCCATCATCCATCACAATATCCTCATCCTTCCCAATATGCTTATAACTTACAATCCCCTCACACTCCCCAATCACCACATCATAGTTTTGGGTTTCACCAGCCTCTTTGGTATCCTGGAACCCAGTACCAACATCCTCCTGCACAGAGTCCTCATCCATCATTTCCAGGTCCACTTCATCATTCTGGACATCAGCCATCTCAAACCCATCCTGGAGCTTTTTCCTCTCATCCCCCTTATATGCCACCTGCTCCTAATCATATCAACCCTTACCCTCCTCATCAACTACCTCCACCCTCTCCTGCCCTAAGTCAATCATCATCATCATCATCCCGGGGGGTTGTATCACCTGTTCCCAGTTCAACCAACTCTGAACCTGGCCGGGATGATCAAGCATCTAGTGAGGATGAGGAAGACGAGCTCTCTTTAGCTAAACCTGAGACCGGACTGAAGGTGAAGTCTCGGCTTTCAGATTTAATTGCTGCTGTGTCTGGCAAAATCTCCAAACCATCAGAGCAACCAGAGGAAGAGTCCAAAGAAAAGGAATCAGTTAACACCAATTCTCTGCAAGAGAAATGGAACTCTGTATTCAAGGCAAAGAAGGATTTTAAGGAAAACCTGATCAGTGATAAGTTTTCAAACCATCAAATTCCACTGGAGTTTGAAGAGGGTTATCTTACATCACAGCGACTTGTTCTTGGAACTAAGATCCTAGTTCTCCAGGATGGACTTCTTCTGCCAGGAATTATCTCAGGTATGGAGGAGGATGTGTTTAGTATCTCCTTCAGAACCCTTGAGAACAGTGACAAGATCAGTCAGTTTTCCGAGGAGGATTTATTTGCCACTTCAGTTCTTGATATATCAGCTATGTCAACAGACAAACTGAAGAGTGGGACCAGGGTGGCAGTATTCCCAGTTCAAAACTCACCTCATCTTGTCCCTGGCACTGTCCGCAAAGTGATCAATGCTTACATCCTCCAAGTTACTCTGGACTCTGGACCAGTAAAAGATATTAATTGCGAGCATGTACGTATAATTCCGACATCTTTTATTCCAAAGAAAGTATTTCTCAATGGCTTCAACCATAAAACCTGTGAAAAAGTCCCTATCTCTAATGCCTATGGTTCTAACAAAAACAAACCTAATATCTTGCTTGGATATGACTTTGTTGATACTGATAAGTCAGATTTACAAGCTCAGTGGGAGACTGCTATCTCTAGAAAGTCGAATAAGAAACCTGAAAAGAAACCTACAGAGACTGTAGCAGAATCTTTGGAGGCAGTAGAGCAGAAGCCTAAACCTGATCGAAAGCTATCAATCAACACTGAAGTGCAGAACACTCTGAACTCTATTATTGACAATGTAACGGACGAGGAAAAAATGAGACAGTCCTTGATTTTTGGAGCACTCAAGAAATATTCTCCTAAAAAGGAAGTTATCAAACCTGTCAAATCTCCTCGTAGTGTTGAGATACCCAAACCTAGGAAGAAAAAGTTAAAGTCCAGAGATGATAAAAAAGAGGAGAGTAATGAAACTGATGACCTGACCAAGGAGCTGTTGTCCATTTGTAAAGAGTCAAATATTGAAACCCCAGAGAAAAACAGAAAGGTTGACGTTGTGATTCCCCCCACACTGGAGCATAAACCTCACATTAAGGAAACTCTTAACCATTTGGACAGGTCAGGTTTCGAACTGAAAATAAATCTAGTGAAAGACGCAGAAGCTCAGNGAAACCCCAGAGAAAAACAGAAAGGTTGACGTTGTGATTCCCCCCACACTGGAGCATAAACCTCACATTAAGGAAACTCTTAACCATTTGGACAGGTCAGGTTTCGAACTGAAAATAAATCTAGTGAAAGACGCAGAAGCTCAGGTTGATAAGGAGCAAAAATCAGGAACTGGAGAAGAGATTTGTTACTCATCTGAAGTTGAACAAAGAATGTTGCCCTGTAATCAGGAACATTTAGAGGATAGTAAAGCTGAAGTTGAAGATATGCCTATGAAGAAGGAAGATAGAAGAGAACCCAAGAATGTGGATTCAACAACAAAGGAAGAAGCGCTCAACAAATCCAAGGTTGATGAAGAGGTGGTTAACAGTAAAAGCAAAACTAAGGTTGATGAAGAGGTGTTAAACAGCAAAAGCAAAACTACAATTGATGAAGAGGCCAAGGTTGATGAAGAAGACGTTAACAGGAAAACCAAGGTTGATGAAGAGGCAGTTAACTGTAAAACTAAAATCAAGGTTGATGAAGAAGACGTTAACAGGAAAACCAAGGTTGATGAAGAGGCAGTTAACTGTAAAACTAAAATCAAGGTTGATGAAGAGGTGTTAAACAGCAAAAGCAAAACTACAATTGATGAAGAGGCCAAGGTTGATGAAGAAGACGTTAACAGGAAAACCAAGGTTGATGAAGAGGCAGTTAACTGTAAAACTAAAATCAAGGTTGATGAAGAGGCGGTTCACAGTAAAACCAAGGATGATGGAGAGGCAGTTAACTGTAAAACTAAAACCAAGGAAAATGAAGAGGCGGTTGACAGTAAAACCAAGGATGAGGAAGAGCCGGTGACAAATAAAAAGAAAACTAAGGTTGAGAAAGAGGTGGTAACAAACAAAACTAAGGTGGAGGAAGAGGCGGTAATAAATAAAGAAGAGAATAAAGAAGATGTGGGAAAAGATCTTCTTATAAATAAGGAGCATTTATCACCTGTGAATAAAGAGATCAATGATGATGAAAATACAAAGAAATATTTGGAAGATGTACAGGATTCAAAAAACAATAGTTCGAAAGAAAAGGAAAACCAAGCAAACCCAATTGGTGAGGTGAATGAAAATGGAAAAATAGAGCAAACGGAGGTGGGGAGTAATTTGATTGAAAAGAACTCGGAAGAATTAAAAGATTCTTTCCTGTTCCCTGGTGAGAATGTGGTGCTTAAAAATGCATGTAACCAAGAAGATCAATTTGATCTTAAAGATGAAACGGTTGCCAATGATTCTCTTGAAAAAAAGCCAAGGGGAAGAAAATTTCTCAACAAATCTGACCTATCAAAGATAAACAAAACTAAAGAAAACGATAAAGAAATAGTAGAAGTTGAAATATTGTGCAAACCTGATGAACTTAAAACTGTGGCTAAAGATGACATACCCCTTCCCTTCAAATCCGGCCAGCTCAAACCAGAAATTCAATCTGATTCAACCAAATTAGAAAATTCCACTTCTGAAGATGAAGCACTCCAAGATCCAAATCCTGGCAAAGAAAATCTCGAAGTCAACTCCACTAAAAATTACAAGGGCCATATAGACGATAAAACTTTCTACTATGTTGACCCAACTTTCCCCCAGGGTTGGTATGTCAAGGTTAAACTAAGATCTGATCTAACCAAGGCAGATAGCTACTTTTACCCACCCTGCAACACACAACTAAGATCAAAGGCAGAGATTATTAAATTCCTCAAAGGAAACATTAACAAGCCAAGTAAGAAACGACCAGGATTGCCAATTCAGAGAATGCCAGCAAGGAAAGATCTAGATGAGAAGGATTTTGTCTTCACCCTCAACATTGAACCGGAAATATTTCAGACTAAAAGAAAGAATGGAAATAAGAAGAAGAAAAAGAAGATTGATTGTGAACGGCAATGTAATGAAAAAGATGTACGTGATAATGGAAACCCGGGAGAAACTGTAGAAACCGGAAAGCCAGATTCTGAGGAGAATTGTTTCAAGGTTCCCACAATGGAAAACCTGAGAATGCTGAGGTCACGTAAGAATGTAAAGAATTCTAAATCTCTAAAACTGAAAAAGAAATCAGACTCTGGCACAGAAGAAAACAACCTCCATAAGAACTTAAATGTAATAGAAGATAAATATAAATCTGAAATTACAGAAGATAACACAGAATCGAATTGTCCAGCAACTGTTCATTTAAACGAGGAAGATAAATCTGAAGTCACTATATCTGGAAATGCTTCTGATGAAAAAAATGAAACTGAGATTAGTTCACAACCAAAGACAGATCAATGCAACAAAGAGGACGCTGAAGCCGCTAAAGATGATATTAAGACAGAATCAGAAGAATGCGTGGAGAATGATATTTCAGATTCATCTTTGCCCATCAAACGCACTCTAAGATCAGCAAGAGAGTCTAAGAAAAGGAAAACAAAATCAGACAGCACTGAAACAGAAACTGAACCAACCCCTAAAAGGGTTTGTAAGAAAAGAGAGTTGAGGAGAACAAGATCCAACTCTAACGCTGAAGATATAAAAACTGTAAAGGAACCCCCTAAAACAGGTGTGATAGTTAGTGCCATGATTAAAACTGAATCAGAAGATACTGAACCCTTGCTAGATTCCGCCACAACCGGTGAAATAAAAGACGGCGGACAAAACAGCGAACAAACTTCCTCCACAAGTAAAGAGCAAACTAGTGTTGGAATAATTGCTAAACGTAAACCTCATCAGCGACCTAAACTGCGAGGTCCAGCCTCTAAAAGAAAATACTCTCTGACCTCCTCAGAAAGCGAAGATGATGAACCCATTGAAAAACTTGTCAAAAAAGAAAATGAGGAAACTCCTACCACCTTTGAAATTGATATTCATTCAGACTCCATCCTCCGAACTTCATGCTCAGCCTCCGTGGTAAATCTCTTTAATCGGAGACTATTGGAAACCCCCTGCGGTCATTGTACAGCCCCGGGTAAATTTTCAGCGGAAAGTCTTGAGATTGATCTGCCTAGTAATTTGATATTTATTGAATGCAATCTCTGTAGTTGGACAACTGTCAGAAAGATATCAGTTCAGAGCAAAATTATTTGCTGATTTTGAAACAAGTAGTTAAAAATATGAAGTCACTTCCAGATATTATTTTTTGTTTATCCAAAGACATTGATATTTTTAGCACAAAAGTAGATTAGTGTTCACTACTACCCTTTGAATAAAAAATTCTTTGTTGAACTTGAATCATTGGAACAAAGGGATCACTCTAACCCAATATTTAAATTCTGATTAAGGTAAATCATTACAATATTAACATGTGGAATTCTGGATTTGTTTTACTAAACCCAAAACCTCTTATAACACAGGGTGACCGATCATGACTTACATTTTGTATTTTTGTTATTCTTGTAAAATTAGTATTAGTTTTATGTTCCTACATCGTAAAATACTCATTACTCATGTTGAAAATATGTATTTACATGTTATGTCTTATGGTATTTGTGCCAAAATATAAATATTTACAAAATTGTATCTCTTTATTGGTGGTTGGGGGCAGTATCTCAATATTAAAGAATGTGTAGGTCTTGGCATTAATTTAAAATATAAAATTTTATTCTTTAAATTTAGAAAAAATATTAGTCATGTTTCTATTTTATTCAAATTAAATAATAATGGTGCAACATTGCATTTCCAGAAAGATTTATTGCAAAAATAACTTTTTCATTCTGTAGGATAATCAGATTAACAATTGGAAGCTATCATTTTTATTGGTTGCATTTCTTAAAAATGAAATAAATGGCGCTTTAAAGAGTTGAATTTTAAATTTGAAAAATTATTAGACTAAATGTAGGGTTACCCACAAAGGATGACATTTTGTCGTAACTGGGCGGTTCCTTGCAGCTTTAAACATTTTGTATTTGTTGCCAAATCATTTAAAGACCAATGGAATAAATTAATCTCATAATTGACGAGTTTCGTGGTCTTTGTGGGTCTGTAACAGCGAGGATATAGTGTATAGAGTGATGATGTACGCCAATCCTTTACCAATTGCAGTATAGGCCGGGAACTATACCGAGAGCGTATTGCTTATTTGTTTATTATACGGATATTCTGGCCTAACCTAAAGTATATAATTATTAGTAAACTGTTGTAAGTGTACAGTACAGCAGCGCTAACTGAGCACACAGGTCTGTAATTGAATTGAATAAAATCATTGTGAAAACAAAATGAATTTTAAAGAAACGTTTATTTTCAAGATTTTACAATTTTTTCCAGATCTAACAGATTTGAAATTATATATAGGGATGAGACTTCCGGAGACGACTGTACGGAATTACCACGGTCTGTTTCCTTTTATTTAGGATTCCCTGTCAGATTGAATGTTCCTCTTTCTTTGCTAAATCACCAACATGACCAGAACAGACTACATTCATGGCTAAATACTTACTTTAATTTTATAACTGAAAGGCTCAGGTCGTCTATACAGTCTCATCCATTGTGGGTAACCCTGAATGTTTATTGTTAACCGTATACAATATTTTACTTATTCATCGAGATATTACACTTCCCAATATTCTCCTCATGTTTATTTTCGGATATATAATATTTTTCTTATTTTAGAATATTCGTTTTCTGTATCTTGATGGAGAAATTTCAGGGCTGATTTATCAGCAAACATAAATTCTTAGAATATCTTTCCTTCAAAACTTCAAATATGGAGAGATACAGCTGCTGTCCTGCTAAACAGCACAGTTGAGAGAAAACCGCGTTTTTACGTTGAGGGAGGGGGGCGGGGGGTAAATAATCTGTATCAATGTATACCTATATCCTTATATCCTTGTACCATAGTATTATTGAATCATTGTATCCTTTTATTCTTGTATCTTATACGTGTAATTTTGCACTTATTTCCTTGTATCCTTGTATCCTATTATGCTTATATCCTTTTTTCCATGTATCCTTGTATCCTTGTATTAATTTTAAGTGAAATATCGACTCCCCTTATTACGTCTAACCAGCTTTTTCTCCTCTAACTCAGCTCACTCCACCTATCCAGGTTAATCTAAAACAGTGTTCTGCTCTGTCTGTTAGTAAGAAAAATGCGGTATTTAATTATCCTATCTAATTTGTTTTACACTTCAGAATTACACGTGTACTAATTGTAGCAAAGCGCAAATACTAGTCTTAAATTATTTAGAATGTCAAAAAATTATGCTGGTTTGACTTTAAATATGCTTTTTAGTATTAGTTTTTTAAACTAAATAAAAACCTTAAAATTATCTATATAGCTTCTTTCTTTCGGTCTTTGTTTTTTGGTTCGGGGTTTTAATCTTTAAACTTAAATGTCAAATCCCCATTTATAATTACCTCTTATACAGAACATTTTGATCGAAAGAAAGATGTACTTTTTTATCTTTAAGTTTCTAATTTTACAGAAAGGAAAGGACGGATGAGAATCTTAATACCTCTTCTCTACTCAAAATGAATAAAAAATACAGGGTTCTTGACCTGAAACTATTAAAATATGACAATGCCGATGTAAATTTAAGTCGTCTGCCTTTTTTGGTTAACTTAATGATAAGGCAAGGAAAAAAACAAGTTTTCAATTGAAGGGAATCATTAATTTAAGGAAACAGACAGTATAGAATCCGTACAGTCGTCTCTAAACTCTTATCCTCTGTGGGTAACCCTGTATATTGTATCTAGATATATAAATCCAATTTGTGCATTTAAGTTGCACAATTCTGAATAATATTAAGATGAAATATGCACAAAAGAATTTAAACATTCTTAAAACAAACTTGTTGGTTTCTCTACAAAAATGCAATTAGTTTGTGATTTTGAAAACTGATCTTTTTGAAGTGTGTTTTTTCTACAGAAGGGACTGCCGTATTTCTGCTACAGGGAAACAATAAGATTTAAATTTTTATTTTAGTGCGATTTGTTTTAACAATTAAATATTAAAACATTTCAACTTTAGAATAAAGATCGAAGTACATGTATTCATTTATTAAGTACAACTGTGTAACAGAGTACTATTGTTGTTGGATAGTTTGTTGTTTAAAGCATAAGACAAATTTATCAATTTAAAAGAGAATATTTTAAAGGGAAGTGAAAAATATAAATAAATAGAAAATAAGATTTTTGGAAAGTAATGAGAAAAAAGAAATAAAAATTCTTGTTTTTTTTAAAGCAAAAATTAATTGATTTTGGGTTCTGACATTTATACTAGAAATTATTAAATGTCGTAGCATACAAACAAGTATTGAAAGTGAGGCATGCAATGCTCTTTCATCATTTTAAACTATGTTTCCCCATTTTAATGGTGGAAAGGTTGTTATTCTCATGGGTTCCCCAACCATAATAAAGGTTGAGTTCCGTCAATTGAATTTTCAATTAAACATAATTGAGGATATTTTTCCTCATTTGAGATTTGTTTTCATCTACATAGTTGCAGAGAAATGGTTTTTATTCGCATGAGTTCTCCAACCTTAATATAGGTTGAGTACTTTCAATTGAATTTTTAAAAAAATATTTTTTCCTTCAATTTGGATCAATTTTCATCTACAGGATTGTACAGAGAAAGAAACGAAAGTTTTAATCTCGTTTAACGACTATAAAGTTATCAACCGTAGTTTATATTGTGTTCATCACCCGGTAAGAATGTTTGTCCCGGTAAGTATGTTTTAAGAACTATCAGAATTAAAAATTTTATACATTTTTGGAAAGCTTCTGAAAGTCAGTTAGATAGGAAAAAATGTGAAAAAGAAAATACACAAAATATGACCAATTCACGGCAAACTAAAATAAATTACACATTAGATTCAAATCTAAGATATTTTCAATCAAGTTTATAGTGCAAGGAAAGTTATTTCATAGGGGTACGCATCTTTTGTACTGCAGTGTACTGTCTCTGGGCGGTAATGTAAACACAAGCCGGATGTCGTAGCCTGACATGGGATCCATCTTTTACATAAAAAATCAATGAAATATTCTTGTCATAGGAAACTATTATATTTATTATCAAACTTTTCATAATTCAATGCTTTATTCTCCTCGGATACTAAACAAACAATGATGCATCTATTCTTGTTTACAAATTCCGCCCAGAGAGAACTGGTTTCAATATGTACGCAGAGTATATGCAACTGCAATTAACTTTCCTTGCATTATAACCTTGTTTTCAATCATAACGCTTCTTATTGGAGAGATATTAAGAAGAAAAACATATAGAAATTGAACACTGTAAATAAAATATATATATATATATATATTCCACATTAAATTGACAAGGAAAAGGTTTCAAGGGTACCGTTGTGAATTGACCATTGCCAAATTTGCATGTAGGGTCACTTAAATTTCTCTTATAGTCCCTTTCAGCAGTCAAGTTTTTTTTTATATTTTGTGTCAAGGTACTCGTTTTGTCTTGACTGTAGATTATGGTCCTTGGACAAGAATGAAGACATATTAAGACGGATTGATGTACAATATACATTGTTCAGCTGGAAAGAAGCTTGTCATTACAGTCAATACTGAGTATAAAGGATAGATATACATTAACTTAATTATACGGGTTGGTCGAGTAGTTAAAAATATATGAAAATTGTAAACAATACGTGTTTTAAAAGTGCTTTATTATAATTGACTAATAAACACTGTATGCTTAATGCTTATGAATACTGCAAAATCCCCATAAAATTTGATTTGGTATAAATGTATTCAATTTTACGTTAATAACTCTTATGAATAATATTTAAATAAGTGATTTAAAACATTTCCTCACAATTGCAAAACTCAACTTTGAGAAACGCTTTATTTGAAATTGTGTGCGAGCAGTTTTGTGGTTGTAAATTGAATTCAACAGCTAATAATTAACTTTGAATAAGAACTAGCTAAAGAGTAAAGAAGAAGAAAAGGATGCTACTTGCAAATTATATTTGGTCAGAAAAATGAAATTACCTCTGTACTTGTAATTAATTAGCTAGATCTTAGAAACCCTCGGTTACTTAAATTTCACTCGAGTCGAAAGTGAAATTTTTTGTTATTAATATTTCTTAAATGCACTTTTTTCTTTTGTACTCAATAAATTTCCAAGCTAGACATTTAATACCCCCCCCCCCCCTGAGTCATATGGGAAACGTGAAATACTTTTAATAAAAAGCTTTTGTATGATGTCAAAAGTGGGTTACATAATCAGCGCACAACCCGAAATTTGTCTTGCCCAATTCTAACACATCGGCAACAATTTTTTCGTTTCCGGATCAGAAAACGCAATTTTACAGTTTAAAGGACGGGGTTAGTTTCAGAAATTCTTAATAAACTTTTGTTAAACGAATTTTTGTCCTTAATTTCACATTTTGAGTTTCAGACGGTATAATGATGCAAATTAGGCTACTTTTATTCGTCTATTTTGAAGTTTTTTATCTTAAAATCGTTCAAATACAAATAAAAATCTTTTAATAAGCAGTGACTTTTTGTCCTTTATTTTTACTTTTTTAGTTTTTAATTTAAAGTGTTATAAACACTTTTATCAAACGAATCTGTTGTATAAAACTTTAACAAAAGTTTTCTGACTCAATTCAAATCCTTTGCTGTCGAAAATTAGATGTAGAACGGACAGGTAATCTTTCAAATTGAAGACGGATAGTTGGAAAGTTGTCCGGAAGAATAGATCGAAAACCAATTGACGCAGAAATATAAAAACATCTATTTTTCATGATATCAGATTCAGCCTTCAGATAGTTTTATTCATTCATTGGATCCAGCAAGATCGAAGAGTAATGTACAAAAACTAATGTACCATAGAAAAATAAACACTTTGTCTGTTACAATTAATTTTAACTCTCAAGATTAATGAGAAATAACAATTTTTAATAACTTACACTTCTCTGGCTCTTTCAAAAGCGTTGTTTTAAATGGGATTAACAAAAAGTTTTAAAAAATGAATTCGAAAAATTCGCAATCGAAAAAATAAAAATCCGCCAAATTGTGCAAAATTAGAACAATGAAGGATTTGAATTCTAATTTAGCTCTAGCGATTGTGGCAGCAGCTCTGGGTTCAGGATTTCAACACGGATACAACACTGGTGTATTGAATGCTCCGCAAAAAGTGATCGAGCTTTGGATAAAGGGCCCTTGCCCAGGAAGCAGTTTGAGTCCTGTCAGTGGTCGTGCATGTTTGGATGAATACACCGTTACTTTGATTTGGTCGTGGGTAGTTGCCATTTATTGTATCGGAGGTATGATGGGCGGAGCAATTGTGGGCTTGGTATCCAGCTATTTTGGAAGAAAAGGAGGCCTTATGTTTAACAATCTGTTTGTTCTAATCGCATCCCTTCTTATGGGATTTGCAAAGGAGGCTGATAGCTACCAAATGTTACTTGCTGGAAGATTATGTAAGTTTTATTTTAAATCAATTTTAACCAACATAACAGTAACGATCTCAAATCAAAATTTTGATGCTTAAAATCACTTCCCTATTAGTTTAATTCCTAGGGGCGTTTAAGGAATTTGTCGAAGCTTTCAGGTTGTACTATTTTGGGGGAAGCTAATGAATACCCCTAGAAAATCTAGTTTTCAGTTATCCAGGGGGGTCAAAGTCACAATATTCCCCCTGTTTACGGTACATGCAGTCTCAGATCTTAAATATTTGTCTTTCAATATTTTCGTTGTGATAATTAATGTTGATTTGTTGAACAATATTTCCAAGAAAATAAGGATAACCAAATAAATGGCTTTTATTTAAAAAAAGTTAGATCATTTTGAGAATTATACTAAATACAAAATTTAAAACTTGCTGCTACTGCAAACGATTAGCGGAGATAACAATCGCAAGACTTCCTATTCCCCAAGATAAATTAGTGAGAAGTTGGAAAATGTTTCTTGCTCAAATTTTTTTTTTCTTGACTCACCAGTTGTAAAAACGTTGCTGAATTACAAACCGTGACTTCATGTAATTATTTACCAGCACATAAATATAATCTCAGCCAAATGTTTTCTTGTAGCATGGTTAATTTTTATCGTTAACCCAAATCTCTCCCTCCCCCCCACCACCACCAAAAAAAGACCATAGAGTCCAAATATGGAGGCAATGCAAGTTCATAGAACTTTAGAGCTAATCTTTTTTTTTAAATACAAATATGTGAATGTGACGTATGTTTCCTTATCTTTTTTCAAGGAGATAAAAACTTAGATACAAAGCTAAATAACCCTTTCTTAAAAATCAAGAAGATTCAGTTCACTTTTTTTATAAAATGAGAATGCTGTGGGTAAAAAAACTTAAGTGAAAAGGGTATTTGGTTCAAAATGTAACTTATTTCTTTTCATAATCAGTTGCTGGAATAAACTCTGGTTTGAACGCTGGCTTGGTTCCAATGTACCTGTCCGAGGTATCACCTGTGTCTCTTCGAGGAAGTACAGGAACAGTGTATCAGCTCATTATCACTCTCTCAATTCTTTTATCTCAAGTATTAGGTCTACAACAGGTTCTAGGCACACAGGATAAATGGCCAATACTTCTTGGGTAAACATATTTTTCCTTCAATTTTTTTAATATTATTACAGAAGTTCCTAAAATTATGTGAAAATCAAGAAGGTCTGTAAGTCTAAAGACATTGATAAAAATACAATATAAAGCATAGGACACGATTAATTACGTTTGCAGATCACATATATAGAGATTGTAGAGATTGCAAAGAATTGAGTTTTTGACACAAACTCTGATTTTCTAATCCCAATATCTTTATAACCCAATGTCGTAAACCTTAGATATTTTAAATTATTAATTTTGCTACATTAAATAGTCAGAGTTTGAAATACCAAAGGTTTACATCATCAGGTTGTAAAGATATAGGAATTAGACAATTTCAGCAAAGACTCAATTTCTTAAATTAAATGACAGAAGGAAACTAAAGTATGGGTAACTTTGATTAAAGAAAATATGAATTATAAAATATACAAGTGGTTTTGAGATAAGAGATAGTATATGAAGTGAACTATAGTATAATGTTCTTCATGTTCTGCAGGGCCCCTGTGGTACTTGGTATCCTTCAGCTACTACTGCTCCCCTGGTGTCCTGAATCTCCTAGGTTTCTTCTAATGGACAGATTTGATTCCAATGGATCTACCAAAGCACTCTCTTGGCTCAGGTATCTCATAAAACTGAAGTATAAAACAGCATAGGATTTTAACCATTTCCTTTGCTTCACTTGCTAAATTCTTTATCCTTTACAGTTTACACCCACACTGTGTTTTCTATATATACTATTTTCGTTATATATTCAAGAGTAACATAGCTTTCATGTTTGATATTTTATTGAAGACATTGAAACAAATTTACCCAACTTTTCTAACTTTAATCATTAATTACATGACCACACAGTGTTTCACAAATATTCAAGCCTTGGAAATATCTTTTTCATTTTTCATAATCTCATATTTATTCACAAAACTGATAACAAATTTTACTCTTTCATTTTCAAACCTATTTTTACTTAATCCTTCTTAATTTGGACAATAAACCACATAACCCCCCCCCCCTCCCCCCCCCTTTATTTGAGTTCAGTGAATAATTCGGAAGAGATTGGAAATTCCCTTTCTTATTCAAATCAAAAAAGGGCAAATATCTTTCCGATAAACATAATATCTAATTTATATTCTAATATTTTACTTCCTTCAGTTAATATTATAGGAAGTCGGACAAAATCCAATCTGAGATAGAAGAAATGAATATAGAGTTCGAAGCTAAGAAGCTTGAAAAACATATGACCTTGAAGGAGATGTTAACGGTGAAATATTTGCGTAAACCTCTCGCCATCGCTGTTATGATGATGTTGGCCCAACAGCTCTCTGGTATCAACGCCGCCATGTTCTTCTCTACTAAGATTTTCAGTTCGGCTGGTCTTGATGAATTTAACAGTCAAATGGCCTCAGTAGGTATGGGTGTCATGAATGTACTCATGACGTTTGTATCCATGATCCTAATTGATGTTGCTGGGAGAAAAACTCTTATGATTTCTGGATTAGCTGTGATGTTCCTGAGTACAACATTTCTGCTCATTTCTCTTCTACTTTACAAGAGCTTGGCCTGGATGTCCTTTATTGCCATTGCATCGGTTATACTATTTGTGGTGGGATTTGCTACAGGAAAAGTCAATTTCATAAATTCAAAAATTTTTTTCCTTCTTTTTTCATAAACTATTTATGCTGGCATGCTTTTAATACTAACCATGTTCTTTAAATTGACTAATTGTTTGTATAGGCCCTGGTTCAATTCCCTGGTTCTTTGTTTCCGAACTGTTTGCACAGTCTGGGAGACCTATTGCAACAAGTATAGCAGTTGCGGTCAACTGGTCAGCGAACTTTCTTGTTGGACTCTCCTTTTCTCCAATCCAGCTGGCCATAGGACCATATGTGTTTCTCATTTTTATGATTATTCAACTTTTTTTCATACTTTATGTACAGTTTATAGTGCCTGAAACCAAGGGTAGGAGTGTGGAGCAGGTTACTGCTCGATTCAGAGTTTAGTGTACTATAAAGTGTTTACCGGCTGTTATTTATGTATTTCAATTTTTTATTTTATTTTAACATATTAATTCTCCTTTTCTATATTCTAATATGTGTTCTTCTACAATAAAAGGTTGAATATGAATAGGGATATTGAAGAAAACAAAATGGTTGAGCTAGATTGTAGCTATCTTCTGAATAATAATAATTTATTTCAGATTTCTATACATAAATCTTTTCGCTGTCTTTCTGTCTATCGGTTCTTTAGTTACAGTTTAATGTAAACAAAATTATCAAGGTTTTATACATTCCTTGGCTAAAACCACAACAGTTAGTAAATCGGCCGCGGGGTGATGAGGAACCTTCATAAAAATTAACCCTATTCCAGCTGTGGAAAGGGGGGGGGTCCCGTTTTTTGGACAAAAATCAAAAGTATTTGTCTGAGGTTGTTCACATTTTTTTACTTTTCTAACTAACACATGCCCCTAACTATAGGATCAAGTTCTCAGGCATACTGCCTAATTGCTTTATTTTATCTATACCAGACTAAACCTATGTTTACTTTCAGTCGATCATTGAATTTTAATATTTTATTTTAGCTTTTTAGAAAACCTTCAACAAAATAGAGTAAATTACACGACTTTTGTGAAGAAATTTTGCATAGATTTGTGCACAGACGCCTTTAAAGTGAAAATTTGCACATTTTCAATTTTTCCTTAAATACACATTCAGTTTTTCTAAATTTTTAAAAGTTTTTTTGCAAATTTAAATTTGCTGGGTCAAGGGCTTTTCAAAATGTATAATTCATTATAGTTCGCGCACTTTTTGTTTTTTTGCACATTTTTCGTTAAATAACTTAATTTTGCAGTAAATATTTAAAATTTTGCACATTCGTAATTTTTTGCAGAATATTGTAGTAAAGGGCTTTCTAAAATATGTATATATAGTGTTTTAGATTTGTATCACAATAAGGAAATAGAAGGTCCCTGGGAACACCTCTATTTTGGGTAAATGTGACGTCACTCTAAATATGGTTAAAAACCACTCTTAAGGGCGATTTATACGCCAAGCAATAAAGAAAAAAAAACAAGAAAGGTAAAAACATATATCCGAGAGTTAAAGAACCATTAAGATAATCTGAAATGTGTAAATATCTTGTGTTTTGTTTTTGTACCACAACAAGAAAACTTCCTACTCATACATCTTGTTATTTTAATCTTACAGCATTTAAACAAAGTTTATTTCTAACATTTCAGTTTGCCATTTTTGTTGTTAATGTTCATGCTAGCAGTTCAATCTGACATTTGGTTTGATTTTTTAAGCAATCTTAAAGGAACTGGAAGCGTGATTTCAAGTGAACCTCCATGCAAAGATGCAAATGCCCGATTTACAACCGGTACCCATGAAAGCTTTGTCTTATGAAGTACTAGCTGAAGGCCCCGGCGTTGCCCGTGAAAAAAAATTCAGCCCAATTGGTCAAACCGTTTGACCGGCTATACCGTATACACAACATATATATGAATGTCTTGTTTTATTATGTAGGTAGATGAATTAGATATCAATGTTTGTTTCTTTAAGCTGTAAATTTTCATTTACGGGTTCTCTAGTGCATTTTGAGGAAAAGGGTCCTCTGTTAAAACTATAAACCAGCTTGGACCTAAAACAAAAAAGAATCTAAAAGACTTTTATACTTATCTTCTCAGAGTTTATATGGTCTGTAAACTTTCAAGGCACTACAATAGAGAAAATAAAATAAGAAAAATCAAACAAAATGATATCAATATTCAAACAATGGACATTGCACTGCTATAAACACAAAAGGGTTTGAATCTTGATCCACAATTCGGTACATCTTAAACCGCAATCTGAATAACAATAAGGATAATATCGTAGTTGTCCTATATTGAAAAAAGGGATCAAATCAATTTCAGTCCCCTCTACATGCAAAAATCCGACGGTGCTTGTAAAGAGAAACCACAATTGAAAATAATCAGTTTTTATTTACAAAAACAAAGGTATCTCCTTCAGTTTTATTCAGTCGAAGGTATAAAGGTTTCTGTTTTTAAATGGACCTGAACCACTTTAAACAAAGGGACATTTGAAAATTCGTCGACATTCATTTTAAGTTGTTTTTTTCTAAACTTCAACTAAAACTATTTGATAAAACAAAAGAAGTCTTGCAGAAATAATCTTCTCTACAACAAAAGAAACAGAGTAAAAAAAAGAAGTTTAGTTTCTAAAACTATCATTTGCTTTATGCACAGCTGGGCGTATAATGGGACTTAATTGTGAATTATAAATTTTCTAAATGTGTGGGATTCAAGAACAAGTATCGTAACTTCTTCAGTTTCAAGATGGGGTTTTAAAGTTGGGGGGGGTGTCTTTTCCAATCTCGTTCCTTGTTCATGTATGCGCCCTTGAATTTGCATTTTGGCTAAATAGGAAAGAATGTTGGTAGTTGATAGAGCTGGCTATTATTTTATCTATACCAGACTAAACCTATGTTTACTTTCAGTCGATCATTGAATTTTAATATTTTATTTTAGCTTTTTAGAAAACCTTAAACAAAATAGAGTAAATTACACGACTTTTGTGAAGAAATTTTGCATAGATTTGTGCACAGACGCCTTTAAAGTGAAAATTTGCACATTTTCAATTTTTCCTTAAATACACATTCAGTTTTTCTAAATTTTTAAAAGTTTTTTTGCAAATTTAAATTTGCTGGGTCAAGGGCTTTTCAAAATGTATAATTCATTATAGTNGGTTCCTTTATCATTCCTTGAAAGCTACAGGGGTTCCTTTATCATTCCTTGAAAGCTACAGGGGTTCCTTTATCCTTCCTTGAAAGCTACAGGGGTTCCTTTATCATTCCTTGAAAGCTACAGGGGTTCCGTTATCATTCCTTAAAAGCTACTTATTATTTTAATTATTTTAATTTTAGAAAATTCTTCTGAGAACTAGATACACTGAATTTACATGTAGTTAGTTGGGCTTCTATATCAGGGGGGCTTTCCAATTCCCTAGATTTACCCCCCTTCCACTTCCCCTGCACCAGGGGGGGGCTTTCCCTGGATTTACCCCCCTCCTTCAACTTCCTCTGCATCAGGGGGGGCTTTCCCTGGATTTACCCCCCTCCTTCAACTTCCTCTGCATCAGGGGGGCTTTCCCTAGATTTACCACCCCCCTTCTACTTCCCCCTTATGGGATTTGCAAAGGAGGCTGATAGCTACCAAATGTTACTTGCTGGAAGATTATGTAAGTTTTATTTTAAATCAATTTTAACCAACATANCCTTCTACTTCCCCTGCATCGGCTAAAAATTCTTTCATAAATTATATTTTGTAAGCAAGGGATACGAAAGTTTGCTATCCCTGCTCATGCCTTGAAGCGGTCAAGTTCATTTTAAAAAAATTTTGAATTCTTGAAATTCTAAAATCTATATATGTACTGTCAATTAACCAATGAAAAAAGTTGTATTATAACTAGCTGAACTGCCCAGCGTTGCCCGTGGATTTTCAGAAAATTTAATTTTTACAGTCTACGTCAATTTGGGCCAGCCCATTTGGTGCAGTCCTTCGGCAAAGATATAAATGAGCAAAGAGCTTTATTGTTTGCAGGGTTTCCCACATCATATTAGATCGTTTATAGCTCAAAATTGTGATTTTAGGGACTAATAAGAAATTTTAAAAAGAATGAATCATTTAAAAAAATGTATAAGGTTACAATAAAAGTTTTCTTGTAAAAAATACTAGATATTTCGAGTATTATGTGCGTATTTTGGCGTTAATGCTTGCAGATAATCTAATATAATATTGGACGCTCCTTATATAGATATAGACTTGTGGTTAGTATAAAGCTAGGATAGATACATATATATATATATATATACAGTCAGGATACCCTATAGAATTATAGGGGAGAAAAAAACCGATTTGCATTATTTATTAGATACCATTTGGACAACGAGGGGGGAGTGCAGAAGGGTAACCTTAAATCGTTTATTTCTTAGAAATAACACCATATTGATCTCTGGTAATGGTCCTGGTGTACAATATTCTTTATTGCTCCTCAGTTTCGAAAATAAATCTATAAATTTGCCACATGATGGGCTAGAAATAAAATTACGTTTTTAAACCTTTGTGCATGCGCGCTCCTCAATTATCATTTCTAATTTTTTTGGTCTTCCTATGCATGTAATTAGTTTTTGTTGTAGATGTTGAACTCGAGTATGCGAATAAAAAAATCTAAACACTGAAAAGGTTTTTTGAAAATATCTTGTGGTATGATCCTTTTAATTATGGTATGGTCCTTTTAATTATGGTATGGTCCTTTTAATTATGGTATGGTCCTTTTAATTATGGTATGGTCCTTTTAATTGTGGCATTGTTCTTTTAATTGTGGTATGGTCCCTTTAACTGAGGTACGGTCCTTTTAATTATGGTATGGTCCCTTTAATTGTGGTATGGTCCCTTAAATTGTGGTATGGTCCCTTTAATTGTGGCATTGTTCTTTTAATTGTGGTATGGTCCTTTTAATTGTGGTACGGTCCTTTTTATTGTGGTATGGTCCTTTTAATTGTGGAATGGTCCAGTCTGGAAAACGTTCTTAAAGTAATTCCCTCTAATGACCAATGACCATTGGTCCTGCCCGCGGCGCCCTGGAATTGATTATCTTGCTCATGACGGATTATGTTCATTCGATCCATTGTGTTTTTTTTGTGAAGGGGGGGGGGGTGGAAAACACCCCCCCTGAAATTATTTGCTAGTTCACCTTATCTTTTAAATAACATGAAAATGAAAAATCGATTTTCATAGATAGAAAATTGAACGAAAATTTCGCGAAAATGGACGAAAATGAGGTCGAAAATTTTGTCGATAGTGCATCAAAATTCGCGAAAATTTTGAACGAAAATGAACGAATTTCGTCGTTTTATCTCACCTCCTGTATACTTGTATGTTTTATTTAACATCCTGTATAATTGTGTGTTTTATATAACCTCCTGTATATTTGTATGTTTTATTTAATCTCCTGTATATTTGATGTTTTATGTAACCTCCTGTATATTTGTATGTTTTACATAACCTCCCGTATAATTGTGTGTTTTATATAACCTCCTGTATAGTTGTCTGTTTTATATAACCTCTT